ACCTCTTCCTATTTTTTGAATTATTATTTTTGCTACCATTCAATGGCCTTTTCCTGATTAGGTGATGTTCCATAGTCATTTCAAACTTGAAATTGTCCTTTATAATATCCATTTTCTGCAAATTTTAAATACCACTCAAATGCCTGCTTTTCATCTTTATTGGTACCTGTCCCAAACTCTTAACAACATCCAATATCAGATATTATATTGTGCAGTTAGAAATTGCTTTCAGCAGATTTCAAATACCACTCAAACACCTTCTTTTAATCTATTATTGTCCCTATACCTCTGCTATAACATAATCCAAGATTATTTTGTCCCGTAATATTGTCGCCTTCAGCAGATTTCAAATACCTACCTCTCGAATGCTATTTTTTCATCTTTTATAGTTCGTTCCTATAGCAGAGTCCAAGTTTGCATTGTCCGTCGGAATCATCACTTTCAGCAGATTTTAAATACCACTCAAATGTCTTTTTTTCATCCTTGTCCTAAGTAGTTTCCACTTTTAGCGAATTTCAAATACCACTCAAATGCTTTTTTTTCATCCTTAGTTGTGCCTATGTCTATGCCTTTTTCATAACAACGACCAAGATGGCGTTGTCCTATTGGATTGCCACTTTCAGCAGATTTCAAATACCACTCAAATGCCTTTTTTTCATCCTTTATAGTTCCTATGCCTTTTTTATAGAAGTTTCTAAGATCATTTTGTCCTTGAGAATTACCACCTTCAGAAAATTTAAAATACCACTTAAATGCCTTCTTAGTAGTGCCTTATGCCTTTTTCATAACAGAATCCAAGATTATATTGTCCATCGGAGTTTCCACTTTAGCAGATTTTAAATAAGATTCGAATTTAACTATTTCATTCATGAAGACCGGACTAAAAAAAAAAACACTTGCAAAGGTTTATTAATCGCACTAAATATTTATTCGTTATGTAGGGTTGTGTTACGAAAATTACATTTTTACATATAGCAATTTAAAATTTCATGTAATTTTATGTCATTTAATGGGTTAACTCAATATTTAACACACTAAATTACAACTGTTTTCATAAATCCTGGGACACCTGAATAAATTGCTCTTTTCCGAAATCTCCTCGATCCACGTCACCGTCTCTGGATCAAAGTTCTGAGAACAGCAACATAGATCGAGGAGATTTAGGGAAAGAATTTATGAAAACAGCTGTAAATTAGTATTCCTGAATGCTACTCCGGTGTTACGCTGAAGTTTCTTATTTTCGTTATTTTATTATTATTTCATCTTTATTTTTATTCTATCTTTTTATTATTTACTTTGTTTACATTTTTCTTGGATTTTATTCTATGCCGACACTTTATATATGGGTAACGATAGTGATAGATTTATAGATTGTCGCGGCTGGAGGGATACATAATTAATCCTCAATGTTATGAGGGCAATAAACCCTCAGCGGGGTATTAACCCTCATAAGGGTTTGGAAACCCTCAACAGGGTTAGAGATGGAAGGAAAGTCAAAAGTATATACTGTAAGAGGCAGTCTCATAGATAGTTATAAATAATTTACCCTCCCGATGTATTAAAAATTTCTTGAAACATAATAAAGAATATTAAGTAAGACCCAGAATCTGACCCAAATATTTTTATAAAGTTTCGCTTTATAACTATGCGCTAAACTTAACACGTGACCCCATTCTTTCTCTATTTTGTTCACAAATTCGGCGTTATATTCGACTAAGTTCCCCCGATTGTAACACCGGTAATAGTTACTATAAGTTACCAATGAAGTAACTTTTATTTTATTCTGAAAGTCTTCGTATTTTATATGTTCGTTACAGCAGCTCTCAAATTCTGGGACAAACTAAAAATTATTCGTTTCCCGAAATCTCTTCAGTTTCGTATTGTGAATTATTTAACTCTTCGGAGATTACCAAGTAAATTACTGTAAATTACCTAAAATTACTGCGGAGTTTAAGATTAATTTTTGCCAGCTTTTTAGTTTGGCTGACCAAAAAAATTTCCCTTTTCCGAAAAGTTAGGTAGATTTCGGGAAAGAGAAATTTTTTTAGGTGTCCCAGAATTTATGAAAACAGCTGTAATGCTAAGAGAAGACTCCGAAAAGTTACGAAGTAGATTATGAACAAAATAAAGGTTGAGCATATGGGCCCTCAAAAGTAGAAACCACCGAATTTGACTTTTAAAACAAATTTATTTGCTTAACTTTAAAGACCTTATATCTCAATGAATTTCAAAGCTATTTCAATAATTTAAATTTTAAAATAAACTTTAAGATTTAATATTTCTTTTAAAATTTAAATTATTGAAATAGCTTTGAAATTCATTGAGATATAGGTCTTGAAAATTAAGCAAACAAATTTTTTTTAAAAGTCAAATTCGGTGATTTCTACTTTTGAAAGCCCATATATATACCCGATAATTAAAAAAATTTATAAATTACCGTTACGGTAATCTTCAAACCCTGTGAATTACATCGCTGCCTCCAGACTGAAGTCCCGAGACAGATCCAAAAAGATTCTCGGTAAACGACCAAATTTTTAGTTTGTCTCAGAATTGCAAAAATACTATTCCTGATGGATCGTCGGTACTGTTCCTAAATCAAATTACGTACTGTACTGTACCTTTCCTTGAATATTGATTCTTCAAATTTTTGCGTTATGGTTTTATACTTTGATAATAATGTAATTTTTTAGGATCCTATCAGGAACGGTACTGTAATTTGATTTTTTTTTCCCATCAGGAACAGTACCAACGATCCATCAGAATTATCCAGATAAACGTTTACTGTAATGGATTGGAACTCTATATCAGGAATAGTATTTTTGTGAGAATAGCTGTAACTCTTCGGAGATTACATCGCTGTCTCCGGATTCGAAGTTCCGAAGATAGCGACTTAGTTTCCGAAGAGTTGGTCAAAACCGAAGAGATTTTCGGTAAACGAACAAAGTATTTTAGAAGTTAACCAATCATTTATGAACTGATGTGGTCAACCAATAACCTTCATTAATCATGATCGTATGATAAAACAGATCAATCTTATTTATCACTATCTGTTATTATCACTGTTAATTTTTTTGTTAGAACTTTTTTTTTTTTTTAATGTTTAAAGTACTAAAGTATTGTGCGAAGCCGGTTCAGACGGTAATAATTATTAAAAATTTTATTAAATTTTATTTATTATAATCTATTTTTTTTATTTTTTTGAAAAAACAAGCTATAAAAATTTTTATAGTTCACGGCTCCTGTATTTTACCGAGCATTTCACGCTTCACGACCTGCTTTTCAAGTAATTGCTACAGAACCTTTAAGAGCTAAAGAAGCACCAGTTAGTATTCTTTAATTAAAGAATTTCTTTTTTCTTTTTATAATTTAAAAAGGCTCTAAAAATAGTGAAAAAGTAAAAATTTTTTATACTAATCTGAATAGAATGTTTTTTTTTTTTTTAATCAAATAGTCAACGATCTCGAGTAAATACCCAGTAATTGACCACACATATGATGCAATTGTAGTTGGTGCTGGTGGTGCTGGCTTACGTGCCGCTTTTGGTCTTTCAGAAGCCGGATTTAATACGGCATGTATCACAAAATTATTTCCTACGAGGTCTCACACAGTTGCCGCACAGGTGAGTTCGTAAAATATATATAAATATTTATAATTTATAATTAAGATTAAATTAAAGCAATCAAAAATTATTACATTTTTAGGGAGGCATTAATGCTGCACTTGGTAATATGAGTGAAGATGATTGGCGTTGGCACATGTATGATACTGTTAAAGGTAGTGACTGGCTTGGAGATCAAGATGCAATACATTATATGTGTCGCGAAGCACCTAATGCTGTAATTGAGCTTGAACATTACGGTGTACCATTCTCACGAACTGAGGAGGGTAAAATCTATCAAAGAGCTTTTGGTGGACAAAGTTTAAACTTTGGACAAGGTTTGATACAATTGATTTTTAAATTCATACTAATATTTACTTATTTGCTAAATAGATGATTTTTTTTTTTTTAATTGTTATTAATTAATTGTTATTAATTAATTACTTTTTAAGGCGGTCAAGCATATCGGTGTGCTGCTGTTGCTGACCGTACCGGTCATGCTCTTTTGCATACGTTATATGGTCAATCTTTAAGACATGATACCAAATATTTTATCGAATATTTTGCACTTGATCTTTTAATGGAAGATGGTGTATGCCGCGGTGTTATTGCTATAAATCAGGAAGATGGTACCTTACATCGTTTCCGTGCTCATAAAACTGTATTGGCCACTGGTGGTTATGGTCGTACATATTTTTCGTGTACAAGTGCGCATACATGCACTGGTGATGGAAATGCAATGGTTGCTCGCGCTGGGTTACCTTTACAAGATTTAGAATTCATTCAATTCCATCCTACTGGTATTTATGGTTCTGGATGCTTGATCACTGAAGGTAA